TACACTGCTGAGGGGAGCAGCGGGCGGCAGGAGAGGTCTGCGCACCATGTGGGACCCTCCTCCGGTGGCCGGGGAGCAGTCGGGGATCGAACCGGCGCTGCAGAGACTGCGGTCAGCTTTGCAACCCAGCACTCAGCCGCTGCAGCACTGGGGAGGCCCTTTCTAATTACTCTTGATCTTCATTGCCTTCTTTATTCTGACATTAAATACTGGAGCTCTCCAAAGTTTGGTCATGGGCTGGCTTCTCTTTTCACTTTATAAATGCTAAGAGATCTCATCCTTAAGAACTAGAATTTGGGGGGCCTTCCTGGTGGTGCAAGGGGTTAAGCACAGCGCTGTGAAGCTGTCCGCAGCCACTGCAGCACAAGTTCGATCCCCGGCCAGGGAGGTGACCCACATGGCGCAGCAGACCTTTCCTGACTTGCCCACTGCTCCCCTCAGCAGTGTATTCCAGTGGATCTGCTTTTTCTGCTCTGCACTCTGTCTCTGGTGAATCCTCTCACCCCCTGCACCTCTGGCCTGTACCCCCATTCTTGTATGTATAAATAAATAAATCTTTTTTAAAAAAAGAACTGGAATTTTATTTATTTTTTATAAAGATTTATTTATTTATACATACAAGAACTGGGGTACAAGCCAGAGGTGGGGGGGGTTGAGAAGATTCACCAGAGACAGAGTGGGGGACAGAACAGGTACAATGGCTGAAATACACTGCTGAGGGGAGCAGCGGGTGAGACAGGAGAGGTCTGCTGCACCATGGGAGTCACCTCCCTAGCTAGGGATCGAACTGTGCTGTAGTGGCTGCAGGTGGCTTCATAGTGCTACACCTTAACCCCTTGCGCCAACAGGGAGGCCCCCCGATTGTATTTTTTAACACAGCTTCAACTCCCTCACTGCTTCATCCTTTCCCAAAACTCTTGGCAAACTCTGACTCTCTGCTAACTCCCATTGCACTCACTTGACTGAACATGTGCAGAAGGAAAGAAAACCACATCGATACTGACTGTCCTTGCCTTGAAATTAAGGTAAAGCTCAAGCAGACCTCAGTGCTGGTTCACAATCATACTGTACTTCCTCCATCCAGTGGTCCTCACCCTAGAGTGCACAGACCTCGATAATTACACAAAGACCTTACAAGTATGAGAGCAAGCCAGTTATATAGGTATTATAGTATCCTCACTAGAGTTAAAAACTAAGGTCCTACATCCTTGCCCAGCAGGCAAGTTTGGGAGGCTTGAATGGATGAGGGGAATAGATGGGACTACCACGGGAACAGACACGTTAAGCTGATGACCCAAATCTTGAGTCAGTACATGCCCAAGGCTAGCTCTCCTAGCCATTCACTGATGCCTGGAGTATAAATAGTGCCTCAGGATGCTCTCTCAGCACAGATGACCTTTCCTGTCCTGCCCCTGCTCCTCTAAGCAGTGTATCTCAATAAATCCCCCTTTTCTGAGGCTTCCCTGGTGGTGCAGGGGTTAAGTCTCAGCGCTATCAAGTTATTGCCTGCCACTGCCATATGAGTTAAATCCCCAGCAAATCCTGTTGCTCCCCTCAGCAGTGTATTTCAGTCAATCTGCCTGTTCTGCTCCCCGCTCTGTTTCTGGTGAATCTTCTCACCCCCCACACCTCTGACATAAGCCCAAGTGCTTTTATGCATAAATAAATAAAACCAATGCTTTTTAAAAAATCCCCTTTTTCTCTTCTCCACTCTGTTGAATTCACTCACCCCAGCATGCCTGGGCTACAACCCAATTCTTCCCCATAATAGGTATTTTCACATTCTCTATTTCTAGATGTTCTTTTCCTAAAACTGATTTGCCTAAAAACTCTTCTGCAGAATCTCATCTCTTACCTCTCGTTCAGCATTGCCCATTTGCTATTCTCCCAAGGGAAAGAAATGTAAAAACATCTGGGTTGGAAACAAAAGTACAATTTGAAATATTTGAAATACTGTTTTTGAAAGTAAATGACAATAGTGATTGAGGAATAAACCATTTAAGCAAGTCAGGTGGTTTCTAATACTTTGCTTTCAATGAAGTTAAAAGAGACTATAATTGAGTTGTCAGCCTGAATATCATTAAAGTAATTTTAATGATAATTCACTATGTGGTTTGGTATATAATTCAGAAGGAGTTCAAAGAAGTGAATGTCATTGTATAATAAAAGTATTTCCATTCCCATTTACTAATTTATGTTAACAAGGACTCTTAGTTCTTACGCTAATGAAAAAGAAAAAATAGAAAGAGCATTGATACTGAATGCTGTCTCATTCCAGAATTATGATTCAATGATAAATGAACTAGCTGAAAACCCATTAAAATATGCATCCTAAGTAAAATTATATATTTATATTTAGTAACTATCAAAGTTAATAATGTGCTGGTATAATTTTGAGCAACTTGTACTACTGCTAATAGTTCAGTACAGAAGAAAAATATAAATATTTAGAATTGTTATGGTTAAGAAATTATTTTTCAAAGGCAAGATATGAAAACAAGACTTTCAGGTATAAAACAAATTAAATTGGGATAAAATTCTATTGTGGAAATGAATGATATATGAATTCAAGGAGAAAAATAATGTAAGATGTCCAACTGTTAAAGAAGACTTGATTTGTATGTCTTTAAAAAGGAGGATGTTGAGCCTCCCTGGTCGTGCAGAGGTTGTCTCAGTGCTATCAAGCTATCACCAGTCACTGCAGCACAAGTTTGATCCCTGGCCAGGGAGGTGACCCACATGGCGTAGCAGACCTCTCCTGTCTTGCGCACTGCTCACCTCATCAGTGTATTTCAGTTGACTTGCCTGTTCTGCTTCCCACTCTGTCTCTGGTGAATCCTCTCACCCCCACACCTCTGGCCTGCACCCCAGTTCTTGTATCCATAAATAAATAAAAATAAATCTTAAATTTTTTTTTAAAAAGTAAAAAGGAGGATGTTGAATATCACACAGTTAGAGCGTGTAGATTCCACATTTCAAAAAGAATATAAACAGTTTTGGTTTTGAATGTCAGTATTTACAATACATCAGAATTTGTATTTAAACTCTTTGTAGTTATTTCAATTTACCAGGAAAAAAATTAGATATGAAGTTAAAAATACACAACAGGTCACATAGTTTTCCAAAACGTTTTTAGAAAATACATGAGTAAAAAAAAAAAATTGAAAATTGATGGACTTGTACCAGTATTGGTCTTATACCCAGGCAAGAAGGGATTCTGCCTTGAGCCTCACATTTTAGAGGACCCACACGTCATCACACAAAAAGAATATATTTGTTTTTTTTTAAGATATGTTTTATTTATTTATGCATACAAGAACTGGGGTACAGGCCAGAAGTGTTGGGGGGGGAAGAGAGGATTCACCAGAGATAGAGCGGGGAGCAGAACAGGCAGATTGACTGAAATACACTGCTGAGGGGAGCAGCTGGCAAGCCAGGAGAGGTCTGCTGCGCCATCTGGGTTAGCTCACTGGCAGGGTATCAAACTCATGCTGCAGTGGCTGCAGACAGCTTCATAGTGCTGAGCCTTAACCTCCTGCACCACCAGGGAAGTCCCCAAAAGGAATATATTTGTAAAGAACACACAGGTATCTCTGTTATTAAGGATCTGGCACTTAGTTTCAGCATGGTGTATTTGTTATTTATTGTTGTATATGAAATTGATACCGGAATTGTCAGGTCTAGTCTCCCAGGCAGGAACGGATCCCAGGCTGCAGGGCAGCGCTGAGTCCCAGCCACTAGACCACCCAGGGTTGGTGTCTCACGAAGCCGCAGCAGGAACTTCGCAGACGCTCAGGCAAGCAAGCGAGAAGAGGCAGGTTTGTTTAGAAGAAAAAGTTTATTGAGGAGAAAAAGGGCAGAAATAAAGTGGGACTCCCAGGCCAGGGAACCAGGCCTGGGAGGGGCAAGGAAGCCAAAGTGGAATTGTGTTTCAGGGAATATATACCTTTTTTCCCTCATTATTCTAAAACTTCACCAGTCTCTCTGTGATTGGTTAGTTCTCGGCTGTCTCACTTAATTTGCTACTGAGTGCGGGATCTTCACATTCCTTATCTAACAGCTTTCTCTTTCCCCATTAGTTGCATCTTTAAATTTATGGCCCAGTCTTCTGGATGGGCATCCCTGCATTGAAGTTAAACAGCTGCCCTTCTAATGTGACCATAAATTAAACCACTCTCCATTTCTCCAATCTCCGCCTCCCTTTACCACCTGAAGGAAACCAGGACCAGCATTAACAATGTTGTCCTTGGTCCTGGCATGTTTGTTTTTCCTAATGGAATTGGTTATATTTCTTTGGTTGTCCTTATCTTTGAAGCCTCCCTAAATTCTTCAGAGGTCCCCTCCTGCACTGTCCCTAAAACTGCCTAATAACCCTAGCTTGCCCTGTCTCAAAATGACCCCAAACTTAGTGGCTCAGAACAACACACATTAATACTTCATGATTTCTGTGGATCAGAAACCTGGAGAAGCTTCAATGGAGCCTCTGCTTCAAGGTCTCACACAAAACTGCAAGTAAGGTGTTGCCACTGAACTAATGTGAAGTTTCAAGTGGAGAAGGGGCTTTTTCTAAACTTACTCCCAGTTGTTGGCTGGATTTGGTCTTAAAAGGTTATTGGACTGGACCTCCCTGGTGGCGCAGCGGTTGAGCGCTGGGTTGCGAAGCTGCCCGCGACCTCTGCGGCGCGGTTCGATCCCCGGCTACTCCCCGGCCACCAGAGGAGGGTCCCACATGGCGCGCAGACCTCTCCTGCCGCCCGCTGCTCCCCTCAGCAGTGTACTTCGGTCCTTCTGCCTGCTCTGCTCCCCGCTCTGGCTCTGGTGAATTCTCTCACCCTCCCGCGCTTCTGACTGTACCCAGTGCATGTATAAACAAAACAAACAAACAAACAAATAAATAAATAAAGCATGCCTCTATTAAAAAAAAAAAAAAAGGTTATTGGACTAAGAGCATCAGTTTTTTGTTGACTGTTATCCAGCGGCCACCATCAGTTTCTTGCGATATGGGCTTCTTCAACAAAGCAACTTACTTCATTAAAGTCAGCAACAGAGTACCGGTAAAGAAAGTCACGTCTTTTAGAATAGTCTCAGAAGGGACATTCCATCATTTTGCCACATTCTGTTTATTAAAAGCAAGTTACGAGGTCTGGTCCACACTCAATGGGAAGCAATAACACAAGGGCATGTATATCAAAAGGAGGGGGATCACTGGCAGCCATCTTAGATTGCTGATCACTAAACATGGTGTGACCATAAATCTAAACATCTGCTGTTATAACTAAGCTATCCATGTCAGAAAATTAAAAATCAAAATTTAATAGGGCCCTGGTGGTACAAGGGGTTAAGTCTCAGCATTATCAGGTTATTGCCAGCCACTGTAGAAGAGTTCGATCCCTTGCCAGGGAGCTAACGCACATGGCGCAGCAGACCTCTCCTGTCTCACCCACTGCTCCCCTCAGCAGTGTATTTCAGTCAATCTGCCTGTTCTGTTTCCCACTCTATCTGCGGTGAATCTTCTCATCCCTCACATCTCCTGCCTATACCCCAGCTCTTGTATGCATAAATAAATAAATCTTTTAAAAAAAAATCAACATTTACTAAGCATGACCATGATGGTTAATCTGATGATGGTCATCAATGGACACTAAGGTAAATGGATGGAGAGCTGATTATGTGCCAGATAATTGGAAATTGTAGTGTTACAAGTGGTGACTTTATGGTGGCGATACTGCCAGATGGGGTTGGCAGTACCAGGAGTGAGATGGATTCATCTCTTGATGAATCTTTGGCATTCCTTGGCTTGTAGAAATATCAGCCTTATCTCTACCTTCATATAAATCTGGTGTTCTTCTTGTATGCAGGTCTGTGTCCAAATCTCTCCTTTGTATAAGGATCTCAGACATATGGGAAATCTGACCTGGTCTTAATTTAACCAATTACATCTGCAACAACCTTATTTCCCAATAAGGTCTCAGGCACTGGGGTTTAGGACTTCAATATATGAATCAAAGGGGGAGGCACAATTCAAACCATTATAGATGGTATTTTGAGGTTGAGAGAGAATGGACCAAATATACCAAATGTTCATAAATCAGGAATCACGATAAAAAGATAACAAGGCCTCCCTGGTGGTGCAAGGGGTTAGGACGCAAACTATGAGGCTGTATGCGGCCACTGCAGCAAGAGTTTGATCCCCGGCTTACCAGGGAGCAGCCCACATTGCGCAGCAGACCTCTCCTGTCTCACCCTCTGCTCCCCTCAGCAGTGTACTTCAGTCAATCTGCCTGTTCTGTTCCCCGCTCCGTCTCTGGTGAATCCTCTCACTGCACCCCCCAACACACACCTCTGCCCCCTCCCCCACCTCTGGCCTATGCCCCAGTTCTTGTATGCATAAATAAATAAAATCTTTTAAAAAAAGATAAGAGTTCTTGATATTGTTCTTAAATGTTTTATGCCAGTTTGCAGTTATTTCAAAATGTTTTAAATACAAAAAAATGGTGCTGAGTTTACCTGTTTATTACAAAAGATCTTGGTACTGAACTGACCATGGGGAGAGAACTGAAAAGAGATGAGTGTTTGTATAGGGCCTCCCCGGTGGCGGTGGCGCAGCGGGTTGCGCGCAGCGCTGTGAAGCTGCCTTTGCTGCCTCTGCAGCCTCTGCAGAGCAGGTTCAATTCCTGGCCGGCCAGGGAAATACCCACATGGTGCAGCAGACCACTGCTCCCCTCAGCAGCGTACTTCACTCAGTCTGCCTGTTCTGTTTCCCACTCTGTCTCTGGTGAATCCTCTCACCCTCCTGCACCTCTGGCCTGTACCCCAGTTCTTGTAAAAAATAAATAAATCTTTTTTTTAAAGGTGTTTCTATAATCTTATTGCAAACTTGCCTGAACCATCAATGAGGGTACCAGAAATTAATACATTATAGTTTATTTCATTTGTCCCTCATAATACTGTGAAACAAGAAGCTTTTGTGAGTTTACAAAAACTGAAGAAAGATCAGGCGATTTGCCCAAGGGCACGCTCACACAATTACTAAGAGACAAACTGAAACATACTTAAAAATGTAAAATTTGAACAAAAACTGATTGAAACCTGCATCACCAAATCAGAAGTGGTTAAGAGATTTCTGGATAGACACCAAGGGAAGCATGTAAAGTGAGGAAGCAGAGAAAGGAAATTATTTGATTGACCACAGCTTAAAATCTTGGTATTTGTTTTTTTAAAAAAAATTATTTTTATTTATTTATGCATACAAGAACTGGGATGTAGGCCAGAGGTATGGGTGGATGAGAGGTTTCACCAGAGACAGAGTGGGGAACAGAACAGGCAAATCTACTGAAATACACTGCTGAAGGGAGTAGCTGGTGAGACAGGAGAGGTCTGCTTCACCTTGTGGATAGGTCCCTGGCCGGGATGAAACCCATGCTGCAGTGGCTGGTGCTAGCTTGATAGCACTGAGACTTTAACCCCTGTGCCACCAGGAAGGCCCCAAGTCTAGTTATTTGTGATCAATTATCCTCAGTGGGTTTTGGTGTTGTATCTTGAGGCATTTACTGGCTCAGATTTCGGTTTGTTAAGTAGGCCACTGGGGCTTTAGAGCCATCTCAGTCTATTATCCTCCTTGTTTAATTAATTTAACACACAAATTAGTGAATCCTAATCCAGTTTCTTGACTTGTAATGTGCTCCCCTTGAGGCAGCAGCAGAGGACAAAATAAATTGACTCTAAACAAAATTTTAATGTTGTTTGTATGTTTTGGGTGTGACCTACATTCCAAAGTAAACAGGTCTAACTATTTTTTTTAAAGATTTATTTATTGGCCTCCCTGGTGGCGCAAGGGGTTAAACACCGCACTATGGAGCAAACCGCAGCCTCTGCAGCATGAGTTCAATCCCCAGCTGACCAGGGAGCAACCCACATGGTGAAGCAGACTTCTCCTATCTTGCCTACTGCTCCCCTCAGCAGTGTATTTCAGTCAGCCTGCCTGTTCTGTTCCCCACTCTGTCTCTGGTGGATCCTCTCACCCCCCCCTCCCCCGTCTCTGGCCTGTACCCCAGCTCTTGTATGCATAAATAAATAAATCTTTAAAAAAAGAAAAAGATTTATTTATTTATGCATACAAGAACTGGGGTATAGGCCAGAGGTGCGGGGGGGTGAGAGGATTCACCAGAGACAGAGTGGGGAACAGAACAGACAGATTAACTTAAATACACTACTGAGGGGAGCAGCAGGCGAGTCAGGAGAGGTCTGCTGTGCCATGTGGGTCAGCTCCCTGGCTGAAGATTGAAGTCGTGCTGTAGTGGCTGCGGATAGCTTCATAGGTTGCATCTCAGCCCCTTGTGCCACCAGGGAGGCCCTGAACCAGACTTTCTGATGGGGGTTGGAGGGATGCTGCTGGCGAGGAGGAAGGAGCAGGGAGGCCATGTTGAAAGGGGAGAAGGAACTGGAAGCCACACAGGTGGATGCTTCTCCTGGTCTTTGGCAGGCAGGATGATCCTGTTGGAGACCCCTAAGGCGTGAAGTGCTGAGACAAGGAAAATGTTGGGGTCATGACAGGAAGACTAGTCAACATGGGCCAGAAGACTGGCCCGTGTCCAGATTGCGATGTCCTTTCTTGTGTCAGCGAAACTACACCTAAGGAACAAACTGTTTAGATTATAAAAGAGACCAGAACAACCTGATAATGCAGAACCTTGGCAGTGAACGTGTGCCAGAATAATGCTGAATACTAAGAAATGAGAGTGAACAATTGTCTTGTAACCAACTTAGGGGATAGTGAAATGCTTTTGTATTGCTCAAGGTCAAGGGGAAACTATTCTGCTATTGGTTTCCTCTTTGTGTAATTTGAAAACCTTTGCTGGGAGAGAACACATCCACAGAGTTTAGTGAGAATGAAAAGGATGGTGAGTCAGAAGGGGAGGATCCCCAAGGGGAAAAACACAAGAAATATGGGGAGATAAAAGAAAGCTGGCCACTGCCCGCTTTGTGAGATCACCCCATACAAGAACAGGATAAGGAGACTCCATTAGCCCCTCCATCTTATTAGAAACAAAAAATGTGGCCCCTTTACTGGCCTTTGGTCCTAAAAAAGGTATGGGTAGTGTTAATATAAATAGCATTAGGGAAGCTATATAAAATGGTGATCTTGAGGCATATCTTAATCCAGTCATTATTATACTGTTTGGACCAGGAATCAATCCACAATGTCCTGAAGGAGGAGTTCAGTAGGATTATCAAGCTATCTCTTTGAAAACTCTGTCAGTCAGTATGGTACCAGCTCTCCATCACTAAGGGAGTGCTGGATGGGATGGTTCAAGCAGAACGCTTTATCCCTTATGATTAGAATCTGCTAGCCAGAACCTGTCTGTCACCTGCAGAATTTCTACAGTTCATAACCTGGTGGGGGGATGAAGCCTAGCAGCAGGCCTAGTGCAATGCTGCTGCTCAGCCCCCTGTGAACATCACATAAACAATTGTTAGATTCAGGAGCTTGGAATGGAGTCCAAGCACAGCTACGATATGATGATCAGGCTGTGGCTCAGGTTCGAGTCTGCTATCTTAAAACATAGGACAGGATCTCCCCTCCCAGGAAGGTCATCACCCCTTCTTTTGTGCAGATTAAGCAAGGACCTACCGAACCATATGTAGAATTCATAGCCCAATTAAAACAATAAATCTTGCTAAGACATTGTCATGCATGGCTTGTGAGATCTTCTTTTAAAAACACTGGCCTTGGGCCTCCCCGGTGGCGCAGTGGTTGAGCGCTGGGTTGCGAAGCTGCCGGCGACCTCTGCGGCGCCGGTTCGATCCCCGGCTGCTCCCCGGCCACCTGAGGAGGGTCCCACATGGCGCGCAGACCTCTCCTGCCGCCCGCTGCTCCCCTCAGCAGTGTCCTTCGGTCCTTCTGCCTGCTCTGCTCCCCGCTCTGGCTCTGGTGAATTCTCTCACCCTCCCGCGCTTCTGACTGTACCCAGTGCTTGTATAAACAAATAAATAAAACATGCCTCTATAAAAAAAAAAAACAAAAAAAAAACACTGGCCTTTATTAATGCCAATA